AATGACTTAGTGATTAAGAACACTTGCTACTTTTGCAGAGGACTGGCTTCCGTTTTCATCCCCCACATAGTGGCTCACAGCCTTCATGAACTCCAGTTCCAGGGGATTGAATGCCCTCTTTGGGATCCATGGGTACCAGGCATGCACATAGTGCACACACATACATGCAGGCAAAACATGAAAACACATAAAAATAAAAAATGATTATCTTTTTCCTGCTGAAGCAAATTGCTGATACCACTCTTAATTTCTTTCAGAAATTTTTATAGTTTCTACATATGATCTCTTACCTCCTTGTTTAAGCTTATCACAAAGTATTTTATTCTCTTTAATGCCTCTATCAACTTGTAGAGCCTTGTTTCTCTATCCACTCACTTGCTCTTCCTGGCAGCAATTGTATGGTACAGATCAAACGCAGAAGAACTGGGGCTGTAGCTTGCAGAGAGGCCTTGACTAGCATGTGCAAGGCCCTAGGTTTGACGCCTATCACTGAAGAAAAAACAAAAGACTAGGGTGGAAGGATTGAACAGGAAAACTGGATAGCTCTGTGATAGAGTGCTTGCCTAGAAGCCAGGAGGTCCTGGTTTCAGTCCACAGAATTGCAGAAGAAACATATTTTAGAATGGTGAGGGGCTGGGGCCATTGCTTGCATAGAGTATCAACAAGTCCCCAGGTTCAATTCCTGATATCACAAGACATTAAATTAAAATCACACATAAAACAGAAAATATCTACAGCAGAAAGACTGAGGGTTCATGAAAAGTAAAAGGAGATAGTAATTGCCTCCCTCCTTCCATTAATTTAGGAATAAGTTTTAGTTTGTATAAATGGGTTGACTAGCCTTAGAACTGGGGTAGGTAATTAATGCCAAAACCAGTCAGTGAGATGTATAAAATTTATAATGAGATATTTTAAACATTTTTTTAATTCTTATTTAATATTCAGTGTGTTTTCCTGTTTAACAATTTTGTTGTAGCCAGCAGAGTTTTCTTCCTGCCCATTGAACTCAGATGAAGCTGTCAATAAATGGCTACATTTTTATGAGATGAAGGCTCCTTTGGTTTGTCTGCCAGTTTTTGTCTCCAAAGACCCGGTGAGTCTTCATTTGCTTTTTATACTCAGTGATAATGCTTGGTACTCATTTTTAAAATATTTATTTATTGTGTGTGTGTGTGTGTGTGTGCGCCTGCGTGCGTGCGTGCGTGCGTGCGTGCGTGCGTGTGTACACACACTTGTGAGCTCCACATGCTACAGCACATGTGTGGGGGTCAGATAACACTTTGTGAGAGTCAGTCCATATGAGTATACAGATCAAACTCAGGTTGCCTGGCTTGGCAGCAAGCACTTTTGCCAGCTGAACCATCTTGTGAGCCTCATATGGGTTTTGTTATTTAAGCATGAGGATAGCCTTGTGGGTTATCTCTTTCGTTTTGGGGGGTTTGACACAGGGTCTCTCTACACAGCCTTGGCTATCCTAGAACTCACTATGTAGACCAGGCCACCTGCCTCTAATTCTTAAGTGCTGGGATTAAAGGCATGTGCCATCACACCTGACTTTTTTTTTTTTTTTTTTTAATTTCTTGACCTCATGCATCAATCCAAGCCACAACCAACTCCTTATGCCAAGGATGACCTAGAACTTCTGGTCCTCCTGCCTACATCTGCCTCCAAAATGCTGAGGTTACAGGCATATGTCACTATGCCCAGTTTATGGGAACTGTCCTAACAATGAGGGAATATGTGGCTTTCTACACTGAGCATTGGGCAGAGCAGACTTTACCTTCAAGAAAGTAAAAGAACAGATATTTTAAATTACACAGAAGTTGTTCTATTAAACAATTAAAGAGCTTGGCATGGTGGACATTACTCCCAGCACTCCCTAGGATCTCTGTGAGACCCAAGCCAGCCTGGGCTACAAAGTAAGACCCAGTCTTAAGAAAACAATAAATAATAACACAGCACAAGATTTAGGTCTCCTGTCTTTATGTTTGGTGTTCATCATATGCTAATGCTACAGACTTGAAAAAATGTGCTGTTAGCCAGTTAAAAGTGTCTGCCAAAATACTGATGGGCAGGCCTTGGGAGCCAGTGACTGTGAGATGATCAGTTAAAAGATTACCAATGACAACATTTTGTAGTAGTAGAAATATTGTAAATGTGTCTGTTGACACACTGAGTCCCTGAGCAGAATGCCACATAGATATCATAGCCAAAGCATTTAAGCTCTCAGAGTCAGAGATCTTAAGCTATACTGTAATTTTGTAAAGAAAAAAAAAACTAAATTGTATTATTTTTATGTGTATGGATGTTTTGCCTACATGTGTGTGTACCATGTGTGTGCCTGGTGTCCCTGGAGGATATAAGAGGGTGTCACATTCCCTGGAACTGGGTTACAGATGACTACAGCATGGGTACTGAGAATTGTACTTGGGTCCTCTGGAAGAGCAGCCAGTGCTCTTAACCGCTAAGCCACATCCCCAGCCCCCTTTGTTATTAATTTTAAAATAAGCAATATGCAGAACAGGGTAGAAAGCTACAGTTGAATAACAATGTTAAAAGTCTTCCCAGAAGGACATATAGGAAAGGAAAGGAAGAAAAAGAGGGAAGTTACACTTTAGTGACTGTGACTGACTACCCTCTTGCATCCTTGGCTTTTCTTTTCTCAGCATGTGACTCCATTGCTTACTTAAACACTAGTCAGCTGGAGATATAGCTCAGTAACAGAGCCCTCACCTGGTGTACATAAAGCCCTGGATTCAAGCACCAGCACTAACAAAAAATTTAATCACAGGTGCCTATGATCTGTTATTCAGGAGATACAGGTAGGAAGATTGGGAGTTCAAAGCTGGCCTCAGCCACATAGGAAGTTCCTATCTCAAAGCAACAAAAATAATTTTAAAAGACTTTGAAAAAGTAACAAAAGGCTTCTCCTTCCCCTTAAGTACATTGTAATCAAAATAATTTGAATCCATACTAACAAGACTGTTATCCTAGGGGCTTGATTTGCGACTGGAGCACACTCATTTCTTCAGTCATCACGGAGAAGGTGGACATTACCACTATGATACTACCCCAGACACAGTGGAGTATCTTGGCTACTTCTCACCTGCACAGTTCCTTTATCGCATTGATCAACCCAAAGAGACCCATGCATTTGGGAGAGATTAAAGCAGCTGATGCTTGCTTAGAAGAAGAAATGATTAGCTAAAGTTAAATCACTAAGGCAAGAACTGATGATACTAATTCAAGAATCCAGTACAGGGACCGGGAGAGAGTGCTTCCCTAGCAAGCAAAACCCCAGCTTAATCCCCAGCACAGAAGAAAAATAGTAAGAGTAATTTCACTATGTAAACACTTTCTTACGCCATTTGAAATGCAAGAATATGGATACATGATACTCATACTTTGCATCTTCATGTGAAGAAGATTATTGGGAACAGGAATACCTAATTAGGAATACCTCTTGGCTCCTCCTTAAACTTCAATCTTATGCCAGGACCCCAACGTGGACTTAACAGGATGATGGAGGAAGGATGGGAATCCAGACACCTGTTTGTTACTCTTCCCAATGTGACTACATTCAAGAAATCTTTTTATGCTTTTCAAAACAATGACACTATTGCTGTGTGGTGGTGGTTAGTGTGTGCTGATGATGGTTAGAAAACTATTGCTATTCTGTACTATAGAACCTGTGATCACTATACTGAAATCAGCTCTCCAACCTTGATAATGTTGACAAGGTGTGAATCCAGGAACTCCTTAGAACTAAGCCATAAATGTTCTGATTCTTTACTTTGTAATGCGCATGTCTTGTGAGTATAAATCCGTAAATTATTTTTAAATAAACATGATTTTGAGGCAAACCTGAATAAAATCATATTTAATGATATTGTTTCTTTTAGTATCTTACCTACACCAAATATTAATCTTTTTAAAATGTGTATGCTACATGTGTGCATGTCCTCGTGTATGGGTACATGTGAGTGCATATGCATATGAAGGCCAGAGGTTATGCCCACTATCTTTGATTTCTCTCTGCCTTAAATACTGAGGCTTGCTGAACCCAAAGCTTGCTGATTGAGCTAGGCTAATTAGTCAGAGCAATACTGTCTTCACCTCCAGAGCACTGAGATTACAATGAGCCGCCACACCCACCTGGCTTTTTAATATGGGTTCTGCAGATCCAAACTCCAGTCTTCACACTCATGCAGCAAGGACTGTATCCACTTTATCTCCCCAGCCCAGCGTTAGTATTTGTTCATTTCATTTCCCTGTCCTCTGGAGCTGAGTGAGGTGTTAACTCACCATTGCAGCACAGTGCCAAAATAAACATACAGTAAAGATTTGCCGGCTGGCTGGATGCTTATGCCAGACATGTCACTAGATCCTGAGATATGTTTAGTTGGAAAAATATCAAACAAATATTATGTGATTGATATATGATATGAATATGTGAAGAGAAATACATCAGGGGTGTAAAGAGAATTATATTTCCTCGTTGGGTCCCATGCTGAGAGGATTGATTCATTTCCTTAATGAATTGGTTCAAATATCAAGACTAATGAAATCAGATACCAACGAAATTTAATCCAGATGTAATGAAGGTTTCTAGGGTGGAGAGATGGCTTATAGGTTAAGAGCACTGGCTGCTCTTCCAGAGGTCCTGAGTTCAATTCCCAGCACCCACATGGTAATTCACAATCAATGTGTTCCAGTGCCCTCTTCTGGCATGCAGGCATACATGCAGACAGAACACTGTACATATAATAAGTTTAAAAAAAAAGTTTCTAGACAGATTAGGACAGCTACTAGGCCTCACAGAACAGGGAAAGACTGGCTTTAATGGTTCCTGCATGAGCTTTGGATTTCAAAGACATGTGGGTGCTCCTGATTTGTCAAACTGTATTGTAAAAGGTAAAGTAGGGGAAGAATGTTTTAAAGACTGGTTAGCTGTTGTCTTGGGGTTTCTATTGCCGTGAAGAGACAAGCCATGGCAACTCTTACATAGGAAAACATTTAATTGGGGGATGGTTTACAGTTCAGAGGTTTAGTCCATTATCATGGTTGGAAGCATGACAGAGGGCATGTAGACATGGTGCTGGAGAGGGGTTGAGAGTTCTACATCTGGATCCTCAGGCAGCGGGAAGGAAGAGTGAGCCAATGGGCCTGGCCTGAGCTTCTGAAACGCCAAAGTCCATTACCCTGTGACACACTTCCTCCAACAAGGGCACACCTCCAATCATGCCACTCCCTGTAAGTGTATGGGGCTATTTTCATGCGAACCACCACAGCAGTCAAGCAGCAAAAGTAGAATTGGGAGCTGGAAGTGATTGCTGTTCTTCCAGAGGACCTGAGTTCATTTCCTACCAACCACATCAGGCAGCTCACAACTGACTAACTCCAGCTCCAGAGATTCCAGTACCATCTTCTGACCTCTCTGGATACCTGCACATGCATTCAGGGGCACACACACACACACACACACACACACACACACACACACACACACACACAAACATAATCTCTCTGCTGGGATTGGACTGCCACAGAGTTAAATCTAACCAGAAAGAACTGATACTCATCACCGTTGAGCTGGCTGAGTGCTCTCTGCTCTACCTGGATGTAGTCCCTCCACCTGGGCAAGTATGCCCTCTCTGTCCAAGATGAAAATGATTAATTCAGGTTTGTGACTGCACAAAGTCCTGGCTCAGGCTGTGAGGACAGGGCCAGGACAATCAGTTGCAATCTTTTGTGTAGGCATATCTAGGTGTCCTTGGAGTGCTTAAGACAGATGGTGCAGTCTAGAAGGTAAGTCCTGCTAGCTGTTTGACTCGGTCCCTTTCCTGGCGGCAGCTCCACCAACAAGAGAGAAACAATAGCTGCTCGTTAGAATTAAATTCCCATCTACACAAAGCACTTACTTGTAAGGGTACATACATCTTCATCGTCACCTTCTCCTAGAGGAGACACATCTGGGTGTCTGTAAGGATGTTCCCAGGTAGGACTGGTGTCCTAGACTGAATCAACGTGTGCGTGTGCGTGTGTGTATGTGGTGGGGGAAGAGGTAAGCTCCCTGTTTGAAAAAAATCTAATCAATAATTCACCAAACAAGGGAGCCGCGTGTCTCAATAACCAATCAACAAATTAATCAAGTCAATAGGAAAAGAAGCCATTTCAAAAACCAAGCATCCAAGCAACCAATTAACTTCCAACTAAGAAACTTGCAGTGCCCAATCTGCCTTCCCCGCAGCGGCTGCATCTCCGTTAATCGGAAGCTTCGGGCTCCCGGGGTGCAGCACACCGGAAGTGTCCGGGCAGCTGGACCTCCGCGCCTGCTCCAACTGTTCCGCCAGACGCGGCCTGCGCGGAGCATTGTGGGGAGGTTTTGAAAGGCTGGCTTCCGTCTGGGCGGCAGAGAGCGGCTTTCGCCGAGTGTTGGTGTCCAGTCAGTCTCTCACATTCCCTACGCGTTTCTGCGTCTTCGCCGTGTGGTCCGCAGGCCGCTGCCAGCATGTCGGGCGTGCGAGCCGTGCGCATCAGCATCGAGTCAGCCTGCGAGAAACAGGTGCAGGAGGTGGGCCTCGATGGCACCGAGACGTATCTGCAGCCGCTGTCCATGTCCCAGAACCTGGCGCGCCTGGCGCAGCGCATCGACTTCAGCCAGGGCTCGGGCTCCGAGGAGGACGAGGCTGCGGGGCCCGACGGCGACGCGCAGGACTGGGCTGGCGCCGGAGCGGAGCAGGACGACGAGGAGGGTGAGTCTTCGCCCTCGCTGTGTTCTCTGCACCGAGGGTCTCCCCGAGGGGTGGCGAGCTAGGCGGCCTTGAGCCTGTCTGTCACTATGCTTCTCTGCAGCCGTCCCTGTAGACATGTGTTGCTCTAGTCGGGACTCAGGTCGTGTACACCCTGACACGCCGGGAGAAGCGTTCGGCTTTTTTATTACTACAGCTGGAAGCTTTGCGGGGATTTTAGGTGGAGACGGGCGAGTCTTAAATCCGAAACTTTGAGGTGGATGAATTCCAGGGAAACAAAACTGGGAGAGGAATTTGGAGAAGCAACCAGACTGGATTTTAGATTCTCCTTATTATCAAGAGGATTTAAAAAAAAAAACCCACAGTTCTTGATTTGGTGATGCGACAGGATCGGTTTAAGTGGGGGGATGTTCGTGTAGAGTGTGGTAATACAGGCTTGTATTCCTAGCACTCGCCAGGCAGAGGCAGTCAGATTTCTAAATGGGCACAACAGCCTAAATAGTGAGGCACCGTCTCAATACGTTTTTTTTTAATTCGTTTTTCATAAATTTTGTAGAAAATTAAAATACTGTTATTATCCTGTGTCCCAAAGGTAGATCAGCTCAGCAGTTGTGTATCTCATTGGATCCACTAAATCCCCCACTTACAGAAAGAACTATATAGTGCAAGGATGTATTGACATGTCTATTAAGTTGGAGTGCTTTAATGTGACATTCCTTCAGGTCTCCAGATGTCCAATGGCAGCAGGTCTCAGGGTTACAACTCTCTTGGTCATATACTGATACATACATTACGACGAACATAGCAGCAAAATTACAGTTATGAGATAGCAGCAGCGAAATTACAGTTACGAGATAGCAGTGAAGTGATTTAATGGCTGGGAGGGCTCATCACAACATGAGGAACTGTATTAAAGGGTGGCAACATTAGGAAGGTTAGGAACCACTGTCCTATCGTGTGTAGAAGAATGTATGCGAGTGTGAGGTGTCTCTAGGTCATAGTAAATGAAGGAAAGGGTAACAGGAGAATGGGAATGTATGTGTGTAAATTAGCAGGAAAACTTTTGAAAGGGTTTACCCCAACTATTAATAATGGTTATGTCTCAAAAGGGAGAAGAATCAGGCCTCGCAATAAAGGAAAACTTTGACTTTCACCCCCTGGTGATTTTAGCTTCTTTGAGCTTGAAATCTGTAGCGTGAGCGTGTATTAAAAATTAAAAGGAAAATATGCTCTTACAGCCAATAGCAATGCTGGTGTTGTAGGCCATTTGGGGCTTTGCCTGTTTTTTTGTTTGTTTGTTTTGTTTTGTTTGCAGTTTAGAAATCCACTACAGTTATTCAAGTTCTAATGCTGTAAGGAAATAGGTTGTTTTAAAAGCTTGCGTAGGGCTGGGGGGTATAGTTCAGTATTCTGACATGAATGAAGCCTAGGTTCAAAAAGATAAACGTTTGAGTGCCTACCTAAGATATAATGACAGATTTGTCCTGTGGAGATTAGACTGCATTTGTTTTGCTATAGAAGGAATGCTGTGTTAAATGTTAACAGTTCAAGATAGGGTGGTGAGAAGGAGATGAAAGGGATAGTCTGGAAGAAAACTCACTTCTCCTTTTCATATTTAAAAAATAATTTATTTAAATTCATTTTATTTGCATTGGTGTGAAGGAGTCAGATCCTCTGGAACTGGAGTTACAGTTTCCAGCTGCCATGGGGGGGGCTGGGAATTGAACCTGGGTCCTCTGGAAGAGCAGCCAGTGCTCTTAATCGACGAGCCATCTCTCCTCCTTTCTATACTTTTAAACCGCTAAATGTGCTTTCTTCTTTCATTCACTATAACCAGTACACATGTGTTTTGTTTTTCCTTTCTGTTTTTCAGGGTTGGTAAAATTCCAACCTTCTCTGTGGCCTTGGGACTCAGTGAGGAACAATTTGCGAAGTGCCCTCACGGAGATGTGTGTTCTCTATGATGTCCTCAGTATTGTCAGGGACAAAAAGTTCATGACTCTGGACCCCGTTTCTCAGGATGCGCTTCCTCCCAAACAGGTACATGTGGCCTTTAACCAAACAGCTTCTCTTTAAGTCTCAGGACCAACATGTGCGTTTTGCTCCCTTTTATTTTCTTTTTCCTCCCTCCCTCTTTCTCTCTCTCTCTCTCTCTCTCTCTCTCTCTCTCTCTCTTTTTTGGTTTTTTGAGACAGGGTTTCTCTGTCTAGCTTTGGAACTAGGAACTTGGAACTTGATTTGTAGACCAGGCTAGCCTCGAACTCACAGAAATCGCCTGCCTCTGCCTCCTGAGTGCTGGGATTACCACCACCATCCAGCTCCTTTTATTTTCTTGAAAGATTAAATCCATAAGCTAGAGAGTTGGCTTAATGATTAAGAGCACATACTGTTGTAGGTAACTGGACTTCAATTCTTAGCACCCATATCAGGCAGCTCCAACTCCAGGAATTCTGACACCCCTCTAACCTCTCCATATGCAGACACACATGCTCACATAAAAAAGTAACATTATTTTTAAGAAAGAAGAATTAAGTCCAGGTGAAGGTGCAAGGACTGCACGCTTCACAGGTAAGGAGCATCTTTGAATCAGGCTCCTTTAAGTAGGAACAGAATGATGTGGCCTCTCCTATCTGAATACCAGCCAGCCTGACCCACCTTAGCTAACTGCTGAGGTCAGCTGAGATTGGGGTATTCAGAGCAGTATGGTCGTGAGAAGAGAAGACTGTGGCCTTTTTATGAAACTTACGTGTAGTTTTTTTTTTTTTTTTTTTTTTTTCCTTTTAAAATGCT